TGCCAAGAAGTCAGGCTTTGTGTGCGACAATGCACAAAGAAGTTAGAGGATATCCTGGACCTGTGTTGTCCATCGTGGAAAACACTAGCTATGTAGTGCTTTTGAGCTCTTGAATTTGTCTAGTTAGAAAGTACATTTTTAGCTTTATTTGCATTTAATTCTCTTAAACAAGCACAAGTGGCTAGCGGCGGGACAGGTGGATGCTAGGAAACTCTATCCTCCCTTCTGGCCTGTCTTCTCACCCTTCATGGTAGGCTGTCCTGGGAGTACCTGCTCAAGTCTTTCTTCCCCCTTCCCTCTCAGTCCCTGAACCGTCTTCTACCTCTAGGGAACCAGGCCTAATCTTGCCTGTCTTCCAGATCTTCCACGGCCCTGAAGTCATGCTGATGGTTGATACGACTGGTCACACTATGGGAGAGCTGGAAGTGACCCCAGAGGAGCAACTATCTATAGCTGCAGCTCAGGACTTTGTCTTCACAGAAATTTGGTTTTATTTTTACCTATTTGTTTCCTTTTCCAGTATTATTATTTTTATGTGTATGAGTGTATCGCATACATGTGTGTAAGTGTACTGGTATCATGCAATGCCTGTGGAGGTCAAAAGAAGCTGTTGGATCCCCTGGAACTGGAGTTACATGTGGGTGCTGGGAATCGAAACTGGGTCTTCTGCAAGAGCAGCTAGCGCTCTTAACTGCTGAGCCATCTCTCCAGCCCTTGTTTCCTTTTTTCAAATCATGGAATTGTAACCATTGTTTGGAGTCAGCAGTCATCTCTAGACCTTTGTTATTTTATACCAAAGGTAAAAATAGCTACCCAGATCATGTCCATGACTGCTACCATGTCCAGACTCCTCATGCTTGCCGTGGCTCAGATTTCCAAGAGCACAAAAGGAAAGAATAGTGAAAAGTCTTACTCTGTCTCCACACCTGTGTCACCTCCAGGGGCTCCAGGGGACAGTGTAGGAGTCACAGCCCTTCTGAAGTAAGGCACATTTCTTACCTCATCTTAGTTTTAGGTTCTGAATCTGGAAGACCATGCTGTACCCAGGCCTTGCAAAATGGATATAAGAGCTACAAGAGGGACTTATGCTGGTACCATGCAAGGCCTGTCACTGATCATCCTCTTCACTGTCTGGTGCTCCATCACACTGAACTATCCAGCAAGCAGGGGCTATGCCTGGCAAGTTCCCTCTTCCTGAAAAGCCCATCCCTCCAGCTCCTACCCTAGCTTCTCTGGAGAGTTCTCACTCAAGCTTCAATTCAAACTTTACATCCACTGGGATTTTTCTAGCCCCTTTCTAGGCAGAGCTCAGCTTTTTATTCATTTATTTATTGATTGATTATCTAATTGGTCTTTGCTCTAAATAGTTCCTTCGATATCCCTGTCCATCAATGCATTTATTCTAGAAGTCTGAAATTTATTTCACATCCTTAGCCTTTTTCCCAGTTATAACTTATGGCATAAAGTACATGAATTACAAATGTTGAGAAATGAATGAATGGATGCGCTGTCTCCACTGGTCAGAATGCTGAGAAGCTGTGAGGAGGGAGCTGAGTGTGAACTACGGTTAGCTTTCTTTTAATGTTTCCTGAGAGTTACCTGGAAATTCTACCTTATTCCCACTTTTGATCCTGAAAATTGTTTCAGGAGGTGCGAGTTCAGCTCCCTTTCTGAGTAACAGAGCCACAGTGCATATGGCCTAATCTTTCTTTGGTTTTAGTTGCAGGCCTTCCTTGGAATGTGAATGTGAGTGCTGTGGAGCTGTTACACAGTGAGTATCCTAGTTTGTCTCTCCATTGCTGTGACAAAACACTCTGACCACTACCAACTTGGGGAGGAAGGGGTTTATTTTATCTTACATCCCTGGTCACAGTTTATCAGGGAGCCCAAGGTAGGAACTCAGGGCAGGAACCTGGAGGCAGGAGCTGGAGCACAGGCCATGGAGGAACGCTGCTTACTGGCTTGCTCCCCTGGCCCCTGCTCAGCTTGTTCTCTTATACAACACAGAACCTCCTGCCCAGGGGTGGCACCACCCACAGTGGGCTGGTCCCTCCCACATCACTCAACAATCAAGAAAATGCCGCGCAGACATGGCCAGAGGCCAGTCCAATGGAGGCAATTCCCCAATTGAGTCTCCCTCAACCCAGGAGTGTCAAGATGACACTAAAGCTATCCAGCACAGTGAGGATGATGGGTGAATGTGAATGGCATGGCTCAGTCTCTGTGTAAACACAGTAAGATGATTGCTGGTGGCTTAGAATGCCGTAAGAATCATCCTGCCACAGATTGGAAGCATGGAAGACAAAATTGAAATCCATTTGTATTTTTTTTAACTGGTACAGAATTGGCTCCTAACACACCCAAACCTCTGTTTCCTTGGGGATCAAAAGTTTCCATCTTCAAGCTGACTTTTCTGGTGTCTACTGTCAATCATGACTGAAAGTAAGAGATTTAAGGAATTACAACTCTATTCAATACTGCCACTTTAATCTTATATCACCTCCTGTTCTGCCACATCCTTTTCTCTTTTCTGAATCTAAGGTTTGACTATAATAATTTATAGGTTGGGAACCTATCTTGTTTTTATCCAGGACAGATGCTCAAAGCCCAAGGGTACTCTGCTGTATCTGTTGGAACAAACTGCAGAAGGAGTTTCCCCTACATAGTCCAATAGTTCATTCAACAGATCTTTGAGGATCATTATTATGTCAGGAAGCTGGCAAGTATGTTCACACACCCCACTTCTAAGTAAAATCACAGCAGCACAGAAGGAATGAAAACAGTCAACAGCCATAAGCTATGCACAGAAAGACCAGGCAGCAGAAACCAGACGTGGGAACTGTTAGCTGCATGAAGGCAAGACTCAACGTTTATTCATTGTGTTTTAGGATGTAGGCATTCAAAGAAGAGGATAAAACTATGATGAATTAAGACCATATTTCATGACTTTGTCACTAGGAATAATGCTGTAATGAAATAAGAGTGTAGCTTTTCTTTGAGATAATAAGATTAGTTCCTTTGAATACCTACCCAGAAGCAAGAGAGCTAGATCAAATGGTAATTATATTTTTATTGTTTGGAGGAATCTCCATACTGTTTTTCATAGTCTCTGCACCATTTTATAATTCCATCAATAGTGGACCAGGTTCTCTTTCCGTCATATTTTTTGAAAGCCATTTGTTATCTTTCTACTTTTTGATAATACTCATCCTAATAGGTGTAGGGAGTACATTGTGGTTTTGACTTACATTTCCCCAAGGATTGGTGATGTTAAACTGTATTATGTTTTTTTTTCAACAGATCCATTGGCTGTTTGTGTGTCTTTTGGGAAATGTCTCTTAGGGTCCTTGTTCATTTTCTAATCAAGGTTATTTGGCATTGTTACTGAGATCCAGGACATTCTTATGTGTTTTGATATTAACCTTCCATCAGATATGTGGTTTTCAAATATTTTCCTCATTCTGTAGGCTGCTTATTCATTTCGTGCCGTTCTTTGCCATGCAGGAACTTCTTCGCTGGTTATAATACCATTTATCTAGTTTTGCTTTCGTTGTCTGTGTTTTTCGTATCATATCAAAAACTTATTCCTAAGTCCAATGTCAAGGATGTTTTCCTCTAGTCCTAGGAGTCAAGTTTTATGTTTAAATATGTTTTAATCTATTTTGAATATATTTTTGTATATGATTTGAGATAAGTGTCCAATTTTATTAATTTGCATATGGGTATCTAGTTTTCTCAGCACCATTTATCGAAGTGGATGTTCTTGCCCCATCTGTCTTCTGTTCTTGGTGCCATTGTCAAAGATCAGTTGACTGTAAATGGATTTATTTCTGGACTCTATTTTCTTCCATTGGTATGCATATTTATGTGTCAGTATCATGTGCTTTTGGTTACCACTGGCCTTGTAATATATTTGAAATCAGCAAATGTGGGGTCTACAAATGCTCATCTATAAGGAAAATATGGTAGATAGATAAATGTAGATATAGATATGTCAGCATACCCACATATGTACACACAAATTATACCTATATATAGATATACCAGATTATTTTAAAAAGAAGAAACTCTACCATTTGTGCCAACATAGATAAACCTGAAGGGCATTATGCTAAACCAGAAACAGAAGGATAAATGCTACATGATCCAACGTATAGTATATGAAGACTCTGAAACTGTCAAACTCATAGTAACAGAAAGTAGGATAGTTGTTACCATAGGCTGAGGGGAGGGAGGAACTGGTAGGTGCTGGCCAAAGGCTTCAAAGTTTCTGTCATGCAAAACATAGCAGGCAGGATGAATTTTCTGGAGCTGACAAATATGTAATATGATATTGATTGTAGTGATGGTTTTGTGGGTGTAAATGTCCCTGTGAACTCATCCAGTTATATATATATATAGGATATATATATATATAACTATATTGGCAGTTTTTGCATGTTAATCACAGCCTAGTAAAGTGGTCTGAGAAAGGATGCAACACGTGAGTGGTACACACTGAAGGGCTTACAGAGACACACTCAGGAGGTTCCACATACATGCAGAGCATTCCAGAGCCCAGGAAGAATGCATTTTACAATTTTTGTGCTGAAAAACTCTCAACAATCATAGTGGGGCAATTGCATAGGACATTTGTTGTGCCACCAAGTAAAGAGCCTGGTTTGATGGTTTTATTTGTATATCAAGACCGGAAACACATAAATCTAATTCATTTATAAGGGAATGGGAGAGACACCCAAGAGAATGTCTAGACCAGGACATCACACAATCATGTCTGATTTCTTGCTGATAGATGAGTATTTTGTCATTTGTTTCCATGTTGCCTCAGGCTGAACTATAAATAACTTACCTGGCTGAATATATGTGGCTTTATCTTTGAGGAACTCTCAGCTCCTCCTGTACACAGTAGGCAACGCTAGAACATTCTGAAATAATTGTGACTGATTAAAACAGTGTCACACTTACAAACTCAGCACACCCAAACCCAAGGCCTTGGCTACCTGGTGGCAAGAAGAGGGTATGAGTGCACGGGGCTGAACCAGGCTTCCTTTCGTCGTGGCATGCTGTCATAGATTAAAAGGTCTTTCTCAGTCAGAACAAGCAGGGCTGCTTTCCACTGTTTCTCACTCTCCCCTGGCACCTGAAACAGAAAGCAGAAAACCGTGAAATGGGAGCTGGAGGACTGGATGAGCTCGGAAAAGCAAAGTCAATCAGAGGACCCACAAGATGAATGTCTTTTGATTGGGGTTGCATAGGCAACACGGAAAGAAAGAACTCCAGTATGATCCCAGTGATTCCTGCTCATTGGAAATACCTGGTGTCTCAAGGGCCCTGGAACGTGCTGAATGTGCAGCCAGGAAGCAGCCCAGCTGCAGCACATCTGCCGCTGGTTCTCACTTGTCAGTCAGCGCTGAATCTTTATTTCACAGTGGGAGGCAAATGTTGGAGGAATCAGCACTCCCCCACTCCCTTAAGCTCTGGTAGAATGCATTTATTATGAAAAATTTTGACCAAATATCCACAGGCACTGAAAAATATCCTACAGACACAAGTGTCTCCCCAGATAGGTGTGAGATATTGAAGCCTCTTCACTCTTGCTCTTAAATATTTTCTATGATCTAGGCATCATTTCAAAGTTTCTCTTGTTCTGCTGACTAGAAAATCCTGCTGTAGTCACTAGAGAAAAATTATTATTTTAAAAATATTTATTATTTTTATTTTATGTGTATGAGTATATTGCCTACATGTGTGTAAGTACACCCGTGTCATGCAATGCCCATGGAGAAGAGGGTGTCAGATCCCTTGGAACTGGAGTTACAGATGTTTGTTAGCTTCCGTGTGGGTGATGGGAATTGAACCTGGTCCTTTAAGAGCTGTCAATGCTCTTAACTGCTGAGCCATCTCTCCAGTCCCAATGGAGAAAATTCTTTAACTCAAAGGCCAAGATGACTGAGCAGGGATAGGAGAGGACTCAAGCATCAGTTAAATAATGGGACCAGATACATTTTGGCAGCCCTTCTAACCCTGAGATCTGTATAGATCAACCCTCATCACAGAGCCATCTCCTTTGGCCTCAATGCAGATCCTCTCGAATTCCCAAATGCTCTTCTGTCTATGGAAGTGCTCTCTTCCAGGGTGAATTCCAGTCATCCAGACTAAGCTTGAGGGAAACACAGAATCTCAGACTCAAGATGTGTATTTACTAGTATGCACAGGTGATCCTTAAAGATTAAGAAGCACTGTTCCAGATGAGGTCAAGATTGTCTTTGAAGGGCTGGAGAGATGGCTTAGCAGTTAAAAGTACTTGCTTCTAAGAGTACTTGCTTCTCTTGCAGAAGACTCAGGTTTGATTCCCAGCACCCACATCAGACAGCTCACAATTGCTTGTGACTTTGGTTCAGTGAATCCGACACCCTCTTCTGGCCTCCATGGCCCTCTACACTCAAATGTACATAGAAATACTCAGGTGCACACACAGCACACACTTTTTTTAATTATAAAAAAATGGTTTGGGGGGGCCGGAGAGGCGGCTCAGTGGTTAAGAACACTGGTTGTTCTTGCGGAAGACCCAGGTTCAAATCCCAGCACCCACATAGCAGCTAACAACTGCCCATAACTCCAGTCCCAGGGTATCCGACAGCCTCTTCTGTCCTGCGTGGGCATTGTATGACATGGGAGCACTTACCTACATGCAGTCATAATACTCATACACATAAAATAAAAATTAAAAAAAGATTGTTTTTGACACTGGTAAGTAATTTAGTAGAGATAATCTCATAAAAATCTATAATTTGAACTATTCAAAATTAAAGTAGACCTGGCAGTGGGCCAAACATATATTACAGCACATTTCTTCCCTTTCTATTCTTAAAAAAATCTATCATCTATCTATCTATCTATCTATCTATCTATCATCTATCTTATCAATCAATCAATCATCTATCTATCTCCCAGATAGAATCTATCAACTATCATCTATCTATATCTATCATCTATCATCTTTCTATCTATATCTATCTATCATCTGTCTATCTATCTATCTATCTATCTATCTCTTTCTATCATCTCTCTATTATCTATCATCTACCTATCTATATTTATATAGAGTACAATAACTCAGGGGAGAAAGGTCTCTGTCTCTGTCTCTCTGTGTATCTTCTACCTACCTATCATCTCTCTGTCTATCTGTCTGTCTGTCTCTCATGTGTACATACCCATGTGCCACATCACCTGTGTGGAGGTCAGAGAATCTCTCTGTCTATCTGTCTGTCTATCTCTCATGTGTACATACCCATGTGCCACATCACCTGTGTGGAGGTCAGAGAATAATTTATGGGTGTTAGTTCTCTCTTTCTACCATGTAGATCCAGGGAATCACAGTCATTTTAGGCTGCAAGCACAAGCTGAACCATCTCATCTGCCCTTTCCCTCCCCAGTCATTCTAACCATTACTATATCTTTTTTTTTTTTTGAGACTGAGTCTCACCCAAGCTGTCCTAACAATTGTAGAGATCCTCCTGCCTCAGTCTCCTAAGGATGAGGATTATAGGCATACACCTCCATGCTTGACTTCATTACTGTGTTTAAATGCCACAGTGAAATCTTCACAAGGTGAAGGCACACATCTATGACTGTTCTTTACACTAGCATCATGGCTAGCTATTAGCAAGGAATGATTGATCAAAGTAGAGATGTGGTACTGGGCATTATGGGTGACTTTTCTAAATTCTTGTGTTAGCTACTGAAGCCTGAGCGTAGTGCTGTTATTTGTGAGCAGTGTGACTCTGAGGTTATTATTCTGGGAGTTTCCACATGCTGGCTGACAAAACAACCATGTGTGGCTTGAAAGTGCACACACAGGTCCCTGCTCCAAAGTTTGCTAGCTGGTGGGTCAAGGGCAAGCCATTCAACGTCTTTATCTCTGTTTTTCTATCTGTAAAATGGCAAATGATAATATCCTCTACAGAGGTTGGTGTGAAGATTAAACAAGTTAAAGTCTGTGGAGGACTTAATGCAGTGCCCAATGAGCACAGGGAGGTACCTGCGATGTACCCTGCTTCCCATGCTGCAGGGTGATTATTACATATGACAGTGTGATGTGCTTAGCAGCTGGCAGACTACTGGTAAGTGGGGATATTGCATCAAACCTGACAATCTTTAAAAGAATGTTGAAAAGGTGTCTTAAAAATGGGACTAATATGATTAAAGTGATGTCTTTCCTAGGAAAAAATGATAAGATAAATTATTGATGCCAATAAGTTCAGGTTCTTCCCTTTTCCTCGCCAAAGTTCCTCCCAGGAATAACTCATTGTACACTGATCAACTTAAGTTTTTAAGGCATCCCCTTCTGAGGATTCTAAAAAAAAACTCCTTTCTAAAGAATAACAACCTCTTTACCCTTTGTAAACCTATTTATACTAGAATGTGAATGAGTGACTGCCTCATCTTTCCTCCTTTTATGTTTTTTTGCATGCTAAAGATATAGCTTTAGCTTATTGCTTTTGTAAAATTTTCCCTAACAGAGCAAGAACATCTTCAAGTGATCAAAATAGACTGAGAAGAAGAACCAAAGTTTACAAGGTGAGTAAGTTATGGTTTCAAGGCAGTAAGTGGTGGGGGTTGGTTGAAGTAAAATTTTCCAGCTTCTACATTAGGCTTAGTAAATTACCTTTCCAGCTCATTAAGTAAGACTGGAGAAGCTACAAATGATCCTCCCAAAGTGACTATCTGACTTACCTAGTCAGATCTGATCCATTAACGCTGATCAGAATCAGTCATTTAAATGTGAATACGACAAAGCATGATTCTTCATAAGCAAGATTAAGTTTCAGAATAAACCTTAGCACTAAATACCAACAATGGCATGCGGACTTCTGCACTGGTGGGTCACAAACACAGCCATCTGTCCAGTCGTCTATATAGGTTTGAATGATTCTAAACCCTTCATGGATCCCTTAAAAAATATCCATCGTCCCTGTGCATAGGTCTGTTGTCTTAATACAATGTCAATGCTTGAACAGCTGACTTTGCAAGGGAAAAAATGTCATGGTGAAGAACAGGATTTGTGGATGCTGGAGAGATGGCTCAGTTGATAAAGCACTTGCTGTGCATGTGTGAGGATAGAGGTTACAATGCCTAGGGGCCATGTGAAATAATGTTAGTCACCCGTAAGCCCGGGGCTCAGAAAGTAGGGTCAGCGTATCCCTGGGATAAACTGTCCAGGTAGACTAGCCCAGCAAGCTCCTGGTTCATCAAGAGACCCTGTCACAATAGCGTGGAGAGCAAGCAAGGAAGTTACCCAGTGTCAACTTTGGGCTTCCACATCTACAAGTACATATGTGCATGTCGACCCCACATACATATAAACATGCCTACACATATGTGCACATCCTATACATGTTCAAATGGAAAATAAAAGGAACAAGATTTAGAAAATGGTACTGTGTGCTACATGAATCCCACATTGAAGCCTTGCAAGCACTTTTTTGTCAGGCTCGAGTATTTGTGTTATTGTTCTAGTGACATCTCCTGTTATAAATCTAGTTTTTCTGGTACCCAAACTTATCCCAAATGTCAATGCAACAGTACTGGGAACGTGTCTGCATTTTATTAAAATGTGATGTCTGAAAAGGATGTAGAGTTCCATTTTCATCCCAGCACCCTGCGTTAGATGCAGTAATTGTCAGTTTCTGAAGAACTCATCATGTTTCTAATATAAAAAAACCAAGACTGTGAGACATTCTGCTCTGCAATTCTTCTGAAGTGCTTTGTTGGTTGGTGAGCTGAATCCTGTGTCCACATTCTCTTCCACAGAATATCAGAGGGGAGGTTTGCCAAATGGCGCAAAGAATGTAAGAGGTGACTGGAAAGCACTGTGGGAAGTGGAGACCTTGGGGCCCTCCATTCACAGTGAAACTCAAAAGCCTCATTCAGAGGTTGCAAACTCTATAAACTTGGGGTCCTGTGTTCAGGTTAAATTGCAAGTCATAGAACATTATGGAAAACCATGGTGTTGGTATAAGGCTGCACACTGACTGGGTCTTAGTACTTCAGTGACAGCAAGTCTTTATCTCACACCTCTGAGCGTGGTTCCCAGTTACAGTTCTGTAACCTGCAATAGAGTTACAGATTCTAACCTCA